TACGGTGAATGCTACTAGAATTCCTCGACGAGTTGAACTAGGTGTGCCGAGTTTGGACTCATTATGTTAGTTATGACGAGACCTTACCTCCGGACTTGATGGAATGACCTGAAGGTGTGGTTCGGTAACTGCTAGTGGAACTCCTGGACGAGTAGAACTAGGTATGCCAAGTTTGGGCTTGTTTTGTTAGTTACGACGAGATCTTACCTCCGGACTTGACAGAATGACCTGATGATGTACGTTGGTGACTACTACTGCAACTCCTGGACGAGTAGAACTAGGTATGCCAAGTTTGGGCTCGTTTTGTTAGTTACGACGATACCTTACCTCCGGACTTGATAGAGACCTGATGATGTAATTTAGTGACTACTACTGGAACTCCTGGACGAGTAGAACTAGGTGTGCCGAGTTTGTTAGTTATGATGCGCAGTTGCCCTTGAATTTGGTAATACCATTTATATTTTCTCCGATGTGCCCAAACTCGCCACACCTAGTTCTACTCGTCCAGGAGTTCCAGAAGTAGTCACTGAAGTACACCATCAGGGCTCTCCATCAAGTCCAAGACGAATAGGATTTATATATATTTATATATTATAAATCCCACTTGCTTTTAGCGAAACAAAACATTATAATAAGAATTTGTGATTATAAAAATATTTATATTATGTATGTATTATTTTACTTTGTCAGGTCATGTACCTATGTATCAAATTCGAATATTTTGTGTTTGTACAGCGATCTTTTTCAGCTGCTGCAGGCGATACAGCGACCACCTGCGATAGCGGCCGAGCGCCGACTGTGGTATGTGGTTTCATCGAAATTTTTGTACAACAAATCAAAACAGGCACTAAAAATAAAATAACCCTTATTGCAATCCATTAGGATTCATCCGTATCAGCAAAATATGTTAAAAAATAAGCATCAGTTTTTATTTTTTTTACGACCATTTGTGACATTTTGATAAAAAGTAAACACCAGCATTTTTTATTGAATATGTCTGCCTACTTACAGTATTTTTAGAAATCTTAATATATGTTGATAATAGAACAAAAAATGTACCGAAACATGAACCGGTATCGTTAATTTTGTAGAAAATGGCTAGGGAAGATCCTTTTTACAATGTAAAAAACTATTATTTTCAACAAAAAAGCTACCACCATTTGAAGATAAAGAACCATTCTATACGTTGTAGTTATTAGTTATATTTGATTTGGTTTAGTTTTGTCACAAAATGTACCGAAAAACAGCATAATTTGGCCCGATTTGCAAACGCACAGGGGTCCCGTCATGGGGTCCCGTGATGATTAATTTTTCTGCCGACTTTAAAAAGGAGGACGTACTCAATTCGAAAACCTCGTAACTTTTTTCTAGGTGAACCGATTTCGATGATTTTTTTTTATTTGAAAGCTGGTACTTCTTATACAGTCCCATATAAATTTGATCAAGGTCTGAAACTGCATGTCTTACCAGGTCGTCACTCCATCTAGTAGGGGGTCACCCGTTACACTTCGCCTATCGATATATCTATACTTGTATTATAACAAGTTGTATATAATAATATTATGCAATATTACGAAATTTATTTTAATACTAGCTGTTCCCCGCGACTTCGTTCGCGTGTTAGGGTTTTTATTTTTCTGCGCGGAACCCTGATTCTTTTTTAAAATAAAAGTAGCCTAAGTTACTTCTTATAAAATCAGCTATCTGTCAGTGAAAGTCCCGTCAAAATTGGTCCAGCCGTTTCGGAGATTACCCGGAACAAACAGACAGACAGACAGACAGACAGACAAAAATTTTAAAAATTGTATTTTAGTTATAGGTATCGTATTTACTTTCATATGCATTTAGTAAAAAACTGTAATTTTGACATTACAAACAGACACTTCAATTTTATTTATTTGTATAGATTAATTAAAATGTTATATTTGATTTATATAATAAAAACTAAAATAAAATAATTTATATAATTAAAAGTTCAAGGTACAAACTTGTAAACCATTATTTTAATGTAAAAAAATTACGAAAACAGTTTCTCTTTCGGTGGTATTTGATGGTAAAATTATTAAATTTAACAAAATTTTTCACGAGAGACAAGAATCTCAGTATCCAGCTGTCTTTGATATAATTTAATAGTTTTTGAGTTATTCTTAATAATTTTTATTAACTCCGTTTTGCACAAAAAAAATTATATTAAATTATTGTTAATTTCAGAAGTAGCATGGATAAACAACTAGCAGAACTTCTCGCTGAGCCATCAGGAGAGTTTGATAATTTTGTTCGGATGTCAGTTAACGATTTTGAATACCTATTACAAAAAATATCTCCAATCGTTGCTAAACAAGATACTGATTGGAGGGATGCGATTCCTATTAAAATACGACTGGCGGTAACATTAAGATATTTAGCTACAGGGGACAGTTACAAAAGCTTGCATCATCTTTTTAAAATTTCAAGTCAAATTATATCTAAAATTATCCCAGAAGTATGTTCAGCACTCAATGAAGTTTTGAAGGATTTAGTAAAGGTAAATAAAAATATTTTATGTCAATCAACAAAAAAAACTTTTTATTGATCAATGACTAAGGTGCTTGTTGTGTGTATTGTTATAAAATTCGCATTTGTAACAAAATAAAATTCAACATAAACACACAAGAGCCGTGGTAGCTCAGATGGTTAGCGCTCGCTGTAAGTTTCACAGCAACGCGAGCAACGCGAGCAACCCGGGTTCGATGCCCGCCGGCACCAATGAAATAGTTAATTGCAATTTTAAGTGCTGATTTACCACGTGCTCGGCGGTGAAGGAATACATCGTGAGGAAACCTGCATGTCTGAGAAATAAGAAAAAAAATATTTCTAAGGCATGTGAAGTTCGCCAACACGCATTGGGGCAGCGCGGAGAACACTTCCTTTGCCCTAAAAACCCTCTCAGAAATGAGAGGAGGCCTGTGCCCAGTAGTGTCACGTATACGTAAAATTTAACATATACTCGTTAGTAAATTTTTTCTTCATTCTTGTTCCGTTGTCGCTTTTTCAAATGCTTCAAGCAAGGTATTATTTCTTCCTAGTTGAAACGTCTCTTGAGATAGTATTTGAACATTGTTAGGACCCTCATGCGATATTTCTTCATTGAAGTTTTGTGGAAGCGTTGGTGTAATGTAGGAGCTACGTGATGATGAAGGGCGATTAATTAAAATTTGTGAAGGAGAAGTATAACAGTATAGAGTAGGTTGTTGATCAACAGGTAATGTCTGATGTAATCTCTCTTGATTGAAGTTTTGTGGCGGCGTTGGTATAGTGTAGGAGCTGCGTGATGATGAAGGGCGATTGATAATTATTTGCGGAGAAGTATCAGAGTAGAAAGGAGGTTGTTGAACGATAGGTGAGTCCGGAGAAATAATGTTTCGTGGCAGCGATTCATTCGAGTATGAAGAGCTGTGTGCTGATGAACTGCGATTATAAATAGAAGGTGAAATAATGGGCTCAAACACTTGGCCGCGGCAGTGACGACGTTTGTTTAGTATCAGTCCATGTATTTCGTACATTATCTCTTCTCTTTCGTCTTTAGGGAAATCTTTGAGCTGTTTTGCCAGAAGTTTACAAAACAAATCAGCGTCATCATTTTCTTTATTTTCTTTATTTTTCTTTGTTTGCAACACACTATTTAATGTACTGAATGCAGCGCTCATCTGCTTGCTGGCTTCCTGTAATTCTGGCGGGTTTTTCGCTCGACGTTTCAGTACCACTTTACTCGTAGTTGCAGGGTTACTGTTCTCTAAAGAAGCTTGTAAGATACTGTTTCCTGCTTCGCTATTATGCACTTCAGCAGTACTGCTACTTTCCCCACCATCAAATACATTAAAGCCTCCTCCTTCCTCTTTGCCTTGGGTCTGGAACAAATTAATGTTTATTTATTATATTTTATTTATATTATATTTGCAATGTGACCATTTTTTACTTCTAATACATATGCTTGGCTACTGCTAAACTTGACTAACTACAATTGTGTATCTTTTCAGATTCCAACAACCGAGGACGAGTGGTTATCTAAAGCAGAAGGTTTTAGTTTTCCCAACTGTATCGGCACTTTGGACGGAAAACATATCATGATTGTACCACCACCGCACACTGCCTCCGAATACTTCAATTATAAAGGGCATTTCAGTATTGTGATTTTAGCGCTAGTTGATAGTGACTATTGTTTTATGTTTGTAGATATAGGTTGCCCTGGACGAATTAGTGACGGAGGAGTATATAATCAAAGTGTTTTACGACAGAAAATTGAAACAAATAGCATCAATTTACCACCTCCCAATAGTAACACTAACTTGCCCTATGTATTTTTAGCCGATTCAGCATTTGCACTGAGTACACGTATCATGAAGCCATTTCCTGGACATCATGCACTAGGTACTCCACAGAGAATATTCAATCAAGAACTGTCTCGATCCCGTGTATTCGTAGAAAATACTTTTGGTATTCTGTCCAGCAAGTTTAGAATTTTTAAAAGTAGTATACTTCTTGACGAAGTTAAAGCTTCTAAAGTTACAATGACATGCATTTTGTTACACAATTTTTTAAGAAAAAGCATTTATTCTCGAAATTCTTACACCCCTCCAGGCACAGTAGACAGTTACGTTAATGGCCAGTTAGTTCAGGGAGGATCCTGGAGACTTAATAATAAAGAAACGTGTATTACTACATTGAACGCTGTACCTCGTAGAAGTACAATGAATGCGCTTGAAACGAGGGTAAATTTTATGAATTATATTTACGAAAGACGAAATCACAGTCAGGCGTAAACTGCTTAAGACACACCTATAGTTTAAATTGTAATTTTTTATATTTTATAATAAATTAAAAGAAATTATATTTTGTTTTACTTACATTTTCTTTACTATTGCAGATGCTTTTGCATTCATATACATCCCTTAAAAACACTTCTAGCACATCATAGAACTGCCAAATAGGCTTAAATGCATCTGCCTCTCCAACACCTGACTTCAACGATAATATTTTTTTTTTAAATTATTGCGAAAGCATGTCATTAAGCTCTCTTTTTTTTTCTTTAATTCATGAACTGGTACACCCATCGTATCTGCAATACGTTTCCAAGAATCGTTGATCTGAAATAAGTTTATTGTTAGGTTATTAAAGCTACCAAGCACGTTACTGCCACAGAAGAAATAATTGTGGAATAAAGAAAAATTGAAGAAAAATATTGTTTTAAATTTAGAACAGTTATATTGTTTAACTAGCTATTCCTGCAACTTCGCCCGCGTGTAATTTAGGTTTTTAATTTTTTTTTGCGGAACTCTTCTTAAATAAAAATTTTTCTTAAATAAAATTAGCCTAAGTTACTCCTTATAACATCAGCCAGGTCCAGCCGTTTCGGAGATTAGCCGGAACAAACAGGCAGACAAACATTTTAAAAATTGTGTTTTTGTATAAGTACCGTATATACTTTTATATCCATTTAGTGAAAAACTGTTATTTTGACATTAAAAACAGACACTCCAATTTTATTTATTTGTATATATTAGGAACGATAGTACATAATACATTCATTGAAGTTGAATAATAGCCATGCTGCAGCTATATTAGTAGTATAGTGTAGTATAGTACGGCTCCGTGTCGCAGTGGCTTAGCAATGAGTTGCTCAGCTAAGAGCCGCAGGTTCGAATCCCGCACGGAACAAGTATTTATATGGCCTACAAGCAATTGTTCCGGGTCTGGATGTTTATCCTTGTGAAATTTATGTATGTAAACTGCCCCCACGTTACAGGAGAAAATCCTAGTGTGGAGGTAATGTTTTTAAAAAAAATGACTAGAAAAAATAGTTGTAGTACGAATGGATCGGCTCGATCGGGGCAGAACCACGCTCTCACAGAATACCAGCGTAAAATGGCAGCTTGATACTGCTGTGTTTCGTATGGTGAGTGTAGAGAACCGGAGACCCTTTTTTACTGGAAAAGAGGCATTCCATCTTAGTCCTCACAGGTGACAACGCATCTGCATTTTGATAATTTATCGAGAATAGATGTAAATGTCTATGGTTCAAAGCAACCACTTACCATTAGGTGGAATGTGTGCTCATTTGTCAACCTATCCTGTAAAAAAAATTGTCGGTAGGATACACGCGCCACCTACTGTAAGTCAACTGTACTATGCATATAACCTTCCCGCAAGTGCAAGCCTTAAGATGTCAGTTTTATCGTAATCTGATGAATTGTATGGCAGCGAAAAATACGAACAAAGAAATATAATTTTACAAAATAAACAATTTTGTAGGTAACTAATTTTGAAAATAACAGTAGGAGACACGCGCACACGTTATTACTACTAGACTAAGTTAGGTACTTACAATGTTTTTATTTTTGTGATTTTTATTTATTGGGTTCCATAAACAGTTTTCGGCTTGGTAGAGTTCTATAAACTGAAAAGTTTCCTCATTGGTCATAGTTACTGCCATTTTGTAGACACTAGTTACGACGCGTAAATACAAAATTTAAACGTGCGTGCGTGCGATCACTCTGAGAGCTCGTAGCAAACTGAACGTGCGGCCAACGTGTGGACGCGGCGGCCAATACTCTGCCACAACCCTTTGATCTTTTGTAAAAAACCGACACCAGACGGATCTCGCGCCAACTTGTGGGCCATCGTTCCAATACGTACCAACGTAGCTTAAACACCCGCTCTACACGATGGCCATCGTTGTTGGCTAACACACTGGCGAACGTGAAGAGCCGCCGTTCTCGCGCCAACTTGTGGGCCATCGTTCCAATACGTACCAACGTAGCTTAAACACCCGCTCTACACGATGGCCATCGTTGTTGGCCAACACATTCGCCAGTGTGTTGGCCAACGTGAAGAGCCGTCGTTATATATGATTGGGCCATTGCTGGCCAGCGGACCCTTGCCTCACCCCCGCGCCTTTCTTTATTGGTTAGATTTCTTACAAACTAATGAACAGACTTAAATATATAATATTCTTACAATTACTTATTAAACTAATACGTACATAACAATTTTTCTATATACTAAAAGTTTAAACGTTGTTTTTCAGCAACTTTGAGCTGAGGACCCTGCCCCCCGCCTCAGTACTATAAATATAAAACGTCGTGGCGCGGCGCGCGTAGTCTCATTCGCTCCGCGGCCGCGTCACGGTAACATGCCCTGTTTATTATTTTTCGTGTCTAAGGGCTTAATATATAAGAAATTAAATTGTACTATATAAAGGAATACAATTTACATACAATAATTACTTTACAATTTTACATTAATTGATTTCTACATTCAAATCTATGTTAACTCTCGCTATTCATTCGGTGCCTTTATTGGGAGAGTTATTACATAGTTACAATACTATTTATTAAAATACAAAGCTATATTTTTCAATATTCTTGTTACGACTTTTCCCGCGTTGCTGTGTGCAACCACCGCTAGTTGTGGAACCGTGAGCTCGGCCCGACGATCGTAACACCCTCATGGCTCCGCCCACCGCCCCTAGGTTGTTCAACTAGCGTTGGTTACGACAAGCATTTAGTAAGTTCGACGTATCACTTTGTTTGCGTCGTGCACATTCTCCCGCCGTCGCCACGCTGCGATCCCTTTGGTAGCACGACGATCTTCTTTGTCGGTCTTCGTAGTACATGCCCACTGCCAGTGGTTATGTCCACTACTCATACCTCTCCGTAGACGCCAGGATATACGTTGCTGATTTTTCCCCTGGGCCAGATGTTGCGTGGTAGATTGGAGTCACAAATGATGACTAGGTCTCCAATCTTTGGTGATACGCCTATGCTGCTGGGCTCCCGCCGGTGTTGAAGTAGGGGCAGGTATTCTTTCACCCATCTTCTCCAAAACACGTCGGCTAGGGCTTGAGCTCGTTTCCACTGCTGGCGGGCCGTCACATCGCTCTCGCTGAAGTGTCCCGGCGCAGGTACGTGCGAGTTGAGACCGATGATGATGTGATTCGGCGTGATGGCTTCTGGGTCTCCTGGGTCGACTGAGACGTGTGTGAGAGGTCTTGAGTTGACCGTGTTTTCGACCTCGACGAACAGGGTCACCAATGTCTCGTCACTAGGATAGCGCTCGTTGAGTGTGACGCGTAGACCTTTTTTCACGGAGCGAACCATTCGCTCCCATGCGCCGTCCATGAACGGTGCTGATGGTGGTATGTACTTCCACACAATTTGTCGACATGTGGTTTCGTGCTCGAGGACTGCGAGTGCTGCTTCGGCCAGCTCCTTGTCTGCTGCCTTGAAGCACGTAGCGTTGTCACTCCATATTTCTTTTGGGCACCCTCTTCTGCTCATAAAACGCTTGAGCGCCAACACGGCTGAGTCGGCGCTTAACGAGTGGGCTACCTCTATGTGTATTGCTCGTGATGTCATGCAGGTGAATAACGCGCCATAGCGCTTTTCACGATGTCGTCCCACTGTGACCTTTATTGGCCCGAAGTAGTCCAGTCCGGTGTATGTGAACGGACGTGCGTGATGAGCGAGGCGTACGGACGGCAGGTTTCCTGTAGATGGTGATGCAGGCTTGGCTTTTCTTAGACGGCACGGTAGGCAGCTTTTGACGACAGTTTTCACCACTGGACGTAATTTTCTTATGTACAATCTCTGTCTTAATTCGTTCACGACTGTTTCCACGCCTCCGTGATGCAACCTCTCGTGTACGTGTGCTATGTACAGACGAGTGTATGCGTGCTTCCCGTCTAGTATGGAAGGGTCGTACGTGTCCTCCTCCACTTCTGTTGCTGCTTTTATTCGACCTCTGAGGCGTAGGGTCCCCTCTTCATCGACGTATGTGCTCAGGTGGCCTAATTTGTCGTCACCTCCCGGAACACTTCCGTTGGTGATCCTCTTGAGCTCCTTCGTGAAGCTTTCCCGCTGACTAGCTTGCACCCACAGTTGTTCGGCTCTTACGTGATAAGCGGCCGGTATTCCTCCAAGCGATGAGACAGTAGGAGTTGCCTTTTTCTCCTTGGCGGGGATGTTGCGTTTGTTTGTTCTTTGCCAGCCAGGGTCGCTATCTTGTCTTGCTCTGTTGCGTTTACGCCCAGCCTTCACCACGTGCTTGTTTGATCTGCACGTGTCGATGAATAGGAGGACTCTCGCTGTCGCCCTTATGAGGCGAATCCTTTTTGAAAATCTTTTTATTTGTGGCAGATGTGTTGTTGGCGAGTCTTCCCTTTTAACTGCGATGTTACATACTTCTCGTTCTTCCCCGGTGTCGTGTTGTGTAGTTTTCTCTTCCTGCGGCCATTCTGCTGGTGGACGTTGCAGAAACGGGGGCCCTCGGAACCACCGGTGCGACTCGTCGAACTTTTCTGGCGTGGATCGGGTCGCGTCGTCTGCCACGTTTTCTTTAGACGGTAGCCAACGCCATTCGTTCTTTTTGGTCGTATCTTCTATCTCCGCCAGGCGATGAGCGACGAAAGCTTTGTACGCGCGAGGCTCCGACCTTATCCACACTAGTGCAGTACGAGAGTCGCACCAGTATGTCTTGCCCGCTATATCGCCATCGTGCTCCTCAACCACGGTCTGCGCGAGACGAGCTCCCAGCATTATAACGCTCAACGCTTCACGTTTAGTTGGCAAACGTTGTTTTTCTTTTACGTCGGCACGCATCTTCATATTGTGAGTATTAAATCCAATATGATCGCTTTGTACATGCCAGAGCAGGCCGAGCGTCTTCTCAGTTTCTTTTCCGCCCAGGCACACGGTCGCGTCGTGTTGTTTATGCTCTGTCTTTATTTTTTCTATTGTTTTCTCTTCGTTCGATGTCCACGAATTCCACGATGCGTACGAATCCCGCTTGTTTGTGGACGTGATCGACTGCTTTTACCGTTTGCTGAGCTTCTGTGACAGAGTGAAAGCTCTGCAAGTAGTCGTCCATATAGTGATTTCTTTTTATGGTGACCGCAGCTTCTGGGTATGCCTCTGCATGTTCTTCAGCATTTTTATTTTTGATGTATAATGCTGTGCATGGTGATCATGTCGCTCCAAAGATGATTGACGTCATCCTATATTCTTCCGGTTGGTCCTCCCGCCGCTTGCCTCTCCACAGGAAACGTAAAACGTCTCTATCTTCTTTGCGCACTTTGATCTGCATGAACATTTCTTTTATGTCGGCGCTCACTGCATACGGATACTGTCGGAACCTCATGATTACTACGGGCAATGATTGTAATAAGTTGGGCCCCGAGTGAAGCATATCGTTGAGACATATTCCGGCTGTCTTCGCTGCGGCGTCGTGCACCAATCTCGGCGGCTTGTCTGGTTTCGCAGGGTTGATGACTGGGAACTGTGGCAGATACCATGTCCTTCCTTGTGGCGGTGGCATGGGCGCGCGCTCTGCGTAACCCGAGTTGAAAAGGTTCTGTATGCGTTCTTCGTACTGCAGCTTGAGATTGCTGTCTCGGTCGAGCCTCTTCTCTAAGGTGTGCAGGCGCCTTTCCGCGTCCTTGTAATTATTTGGTATTTAGAAATCCTTTTGTTTCCACAACAACCCTGTTTCGAATCTGCCGTCCGCCGACCTCTGGCTGGTTTCCTTCAACATTTGCATAGCTCGCTGCTCGGGATCTTCTTTCGGTCTTCTTGGCTCGATGCACAGCGATTCTAATTTGAAATAATTTTTTATTTCCTCTTCTATCGGCTGTGTATCTTCCCTCTGATGTAGTCTGCCGCAGAAGGTGACCGTCGACGTCAATGAACTGTGACAGCCATGCAGAACCCAGCCCAGGTTGGTATGTGAGGCGACTGGTTGGTTTCGATGACCGACGCGCAGTTTTCTAGACACTATGAGGTGCCAGTTATCTTGTCCGATTAGTATTTTCGGCGAGGCGCTTATGTCCAACCCTATTTAGTTAAAAGCGCTGACCCGATTATTTTATTTCGTATATAAGCGTAGTGTTTGAGGTAATCGAGGCAGTGCAGCTCCGACCCATATTAAGTGCATATCGCACACGCCGTTCGCGGCTTTAGTACATTTTTTGTATTATTTTAATATTGGGGAAATAAACCAAAAGAACTTCCGGGATTGGGTGTAAAAGTTTTTTTTTAAAAACACCTTCAGAGCGGCCCTCCTAACAAATTTGGTGTCAGAAGTGGGATGTCACACGGTCTACTCGTATATCGGTAACGTGGCATCCGAATCCTGGGAAACTCTGAAGCAAGATCGACAGTAAGTCTCCACCCCACGCGTGTGAGCCTGCATCATCCGAAACACCAACAAGGTCTCAGCCCCACGAGCTTGAGGCATATCCATCGTCATCAACCCGAAGTTCATCAAGGCTGTCAGTCTTCACCCCACGCGTGTGAGCCTGCCCTGAGCTGCTGCACTCCCACCGCACAACCACGTGGACGCTGCCGTCAAACGACTCCCTGGGTCTCACGGCAACTCGACTCCGCTGCACGTCATCGCAACACGACACCCGCATAGCAACCAATGTTCGCCGTAGTG